CCCCAAAACCCCAAAACCCCAAAACCCCAAAACCCCATTTCAGGTATATATTTTGGATCAAGGAATTTAAGTTTAAAATGGAAAAGGACTCAGAAATACGTTCATTGTCATCGGCAGGTTCGTCTTCGACTACAACAAATGAGGTAATTTTTAATTATAAGTTTTAGGGTCATGAAACAGATCATCAGTTAGGAAATCATATCATTCTTTATGTGCTGACAGGCCTTCTGTGTGGGCAAGTGATTAAGCATATAACTAATAAGATCAAGCTACCCTATACACCATTACTTGCTTTGTTTGGACTCATCATCGGGTTTGCATACGAAGAGTTAGGACACTGGGGTGATGGAGCAGATCTGATATCTTCAATAGATCCGCACACATTCTTCTTAATCTTCCTTCCTCCTTTAATCTTTGAGTCAGCGTTTTCAATTGACTGGCATATAATTAAGACTGAGATAGTACAAATTTTGATACTGGCAGGACCATGCTTGCTGGTTAATGCTTTTTTGACTGCCCTCGCTATGAGATTTATTCTTCAGTATGATGACGAGTTCACATGGGAAGCAGCTATCATGTTTGGAGCACTCATCTCAGCTACAGATCCAGTTGCTGTAGTCTCCCTTCTCAAAGAACTTGGTGCCTCCAGAACTCTCTCTACCATGATTGAAGGCGAAAGTCTTATTAATGATGGTACAGCCTTTGTTATGTTCTCGGTTACGCTTGAGCTAGTCAAAGGAAAAAGTTTTGATGCTGGAGAAATTGCTTTGGACTTTGTAAGGCTTTCATTTGGAGGCCCTCTTCTTGGAATTGTTTTTGGATTCATTATTTCTTTATGGTTAAAAAGGATCCTGAATAATTCCATTCTGGAAACAAATCTTACTATTGTTGGAGCATACATGGTGTTTTATGTTGCAGAGAGCTGGGAACTAGAGGTATCAGGTATCTTAGCTCTTGTAGGTCTCGGACTTTATATGACCAAGGTTGGAAAGACAAGAATCAGCCATCAATCTGAGGAAACCCTCCATCATATTTGGGGTTACTTAGGATTTGCATGAGAGACTTTGGTATTTATGATTGCAGGAACTATAATTGCTTTAAAGGTTTTTGAAGGAGAATCAGAGATTGGATGGGATGATTGGCTTAGGCTCCCTGCTCTCTATATCATTTTACACGTCATACGATTGGGTATGATCTTTTTATTAAGATGGCCACTGAACAAGATAGGATATGGGCTTAGTTGGGCTCAAGCAGTAGTCCTTGGGTACTCAGGACTTCGAGGAGCAGTTTCATTAGTACTTTCCTTAATCGTCTTCCTTGATTCAGGCGTGAGTGACTACATTAAAGATATTGTTATCTTCCATACTGCTGGGATCGCTATCTTGACCCTAGTAATAAATGGAACGACGATGGGATTCGTTATTAGGAAACTAGGATTGATGAGAATCAGTGAAGTAAAAAAGAAGATGCTCAAAAATATTGTGAAAGCATACAGAAAAGAGGTTGGAGAAGTCATAGAGAAGATGCAAGAAAACGAAAATTACAAGAAAATTGATTGGGAAATTCTCAAAAAGATGGCAAAAGCTGATGAAATTAAGAAGAAAATATTCAAAAAGCGTTCAATTAAAAAGGAAGAGACAGATATGATTGCTTCTGCTCAATTAAGAAACAATGACCTTATGATTGATAAGGCAGAGTACTCTTTTGAAGAACTATACCAAGAAGCAAAGCACAGATACCTAACAACACTCAAAGGTATCTACTGGGATTACTTTGAAGAAGGGCAATGTTCTGCCAGAACCTGCCTGCTACTTATCGAAAGTGCAGATAGAGGCATTGACCATAGTGAGGATACTTTGAAAGACTTTTCCTTCATTAAGGGATATTTCAACAACAGTTGGTGGATGAGATTCATCATAAAGTTTAAAAAGGTATGGCTCATCAACCATTTTGTGAAGAACCATTTGTACAACAACATATCTTTTATCTACGATGTGACTGTAAATTATGTCGAAGGCCATGAGGATTGTTTAAATATGATCCGCGAGATTGTTCACAATGAAGATATCTTAGACAAGCTAAGTGAAGAGATCCATCGAGAACATAAGCACGCTGTGAATATGCTACATAATGATCTCGAAGAAAATTTTCCAGAAGTAATTAAAGCTGTACAACACAAAAGAGGAGGATTTTTCTTAATCAACAAGATGAGAGAGTTTGTCAATGAGATGATTGAGCATGGACAAATTGATTTCAAAGAAGCTAAACTCTTTTTGCATGAGCTTGACAAATCTAATAGAAGCCTCGAGCTGAATCGATTAAAGATTGATTTTGAAGAAGCAGACCACGATTTCATGGAACATTGAGAGATAGCAACTCTGTTCAAGAAAGAAGATCTGGAAAATCTCTGCCATAGTTTTAAGGAGCAAACCTATAATAAGAACGATGTTATTATCAGAAAGGATGAAATGGTTAAAAATTTATACTATGTTTCAAGAGGTATTGTTGCTGAGAAGAATGGCGCGGTTGATGACCCTGACGCTCCCAAGATTAAGAACAAACCAGGAGACCTTATAGGACTCCAGTTTTTGAAAAAGGACGAAGGCAGATCGTTCACAAACTGATATGCAAAGACAGTTTGTACTATTAGGTACTTTCCGATTTCCTCCTTCCGAGAGATGATTTCTGATCAGGAACAGGAAAGAAAACTTTGGGGTTATATCGGACCTTCTATTATTAATTTGAATCCTGACAAATTCGAGAGACTGCAAGATTTCAATGGTTACCAGCTGAAAGTTCTGCTCAAAAACTCTGAGTACAAATCCTATGAGAAAGGAAAAATTTTGACATTCGAAAACGGAGGAATCCTTTTCGAAGGATGGGTAGAAGAAGTCAATGAAGATGATAAAGGAGATGACCAAGAAAGCATACTAAGCGAGAGTGAGAAGGGATTTGGCAATAGGCACAAGCCCAAGGTTAAAAGCTACAAGTTCATCTATCCCACTATATCAAAGTACAAAGCAAAAGAACATGTTTGATGCTTTGAATTTCCAAAATCTTTGAAAGAATCATGGCTCTCCTTTGATCCAAAAGTTCTCTTTGAAAATTTTAGAGATCTTCCTGGAGCACTAAATACTTTAACAAAGCGGACACTGAGACAAAGAACTATTAGAAATAAACAGAAAACTCATTTTCTTGGAGTTGCGAAAGATCTAACACATAAAGACAGAGTAGAGACAATAAGAAAATAAGAGCATGGCAGACCTCGAAAACGAAAAAGAAGATGAAAAAGAAAACATCGAGAATGCTCAGACAAAATTAGATTTTGCAAAGGAAATAGACAGCACTGAGAGATCTATTATTCCAAAAGGATTCAGCAAGGCCCACTTCAGGCCTCCTATAAAGGTAGATACATTGATGGAAGATCCAACTTCTGAATGGCCAAAAACTAGAGAAGTTCCTAAGGAGGATTCTAAAGAAGAATCTAAGGACTCTGGATCGAAGAGAATGAAAACAAATACTCCTCCTGAAAAGAAAGACAACGTAGTCCACCCAATAGTAGAGCCTTTGCCACATGGTTCAGATGTTCCCATTGAAGACTCGCATGAGCAGCTACGTCCAGAGGAGAAAACATAGGAGAAAGGAATTGTTAAAGCGAACTTTTCACATAATGGTTTCAAATTTAGTTGGAATAATAGGGGTTTTGGGGTTTTGGGGTTTTGGGG